AAATCGGTAACGAATATCGATCAATACTTAAAAGTATTAACTCAGCACATCACTAAGATTAAAATTTTCCATTTACTAATAGTACAGAATGTGCTTCATTATTTTTCATAAATTGCGATCGAATTTTATTTACCGTCTTGCACGGGTTCTTCTCAAAATTATCTACACAGAGTTTATATACTCCGCCGATGGTTTAACCCGCTACCTTTGTGCGGGAAACCTGTTTTACCATTGTATTTCAAATTTAGAAGTGAATAGCTTTGAACGCCGTCGGGGAATTTCAATTGCCACTATAAAACGAAAACGGGTCGCTGACAGATGATTCCAAGTCAGGGCGTCCAAACTCTGTCGTTAACAAATTTTTTTTTTTTTTGGATTGTGAAGGTATTATGTTTATCTACTATCTTCCTAAAAAATATTGTAGTTTTTTAGACTATTATGCAGAATTGTTGACAAAAGTGCGTCCAGTCTCTGTCAAGAAATGGGGAAGCCAAAGGAGTCCTGTTTTGCCAAACAATGTACCCGTGCATTACGGTTGCCAGTATTTTCTAAGATATTTATAGTACTTAAAAAAAAAAATCATGAAAAATATAGTACACGTCAAATATATGAGGCATTCTTTTTTAAGTCGGACGGATTTCGTAAAAAAATTATTAGTGAGGTAGTGGCTTTGCTGCTCTCATCTCGCCATTTCCCTTTCATAATAGAAAAAACTCTTTCTGCCAATGCCGAAGTTGCATAAAAAGATCAGAAATTCAATAAATTTAAGTAAATTTGAACATCATTTCTTAGTACATATTTTTAAAATTTTTTTCCATTTTTTATATGTGGTTCTATTCATAAACTCACTATGACCTTTTATTTTAAAGAATATTTCATTTAGTATTGTTTTTTTCAGAATAAAAATTTTTTCTTGGAAATTACTGAAATATATTTGTATGCCAGCCAATAGCAATAGCCTAGCGCTGTAACTAACTATGAAATTTTATAATTTATTATAATTAAATTCAACACATAAATAAGTATTTACACTGGCGGTCAAAATTGGATGAACAGCCATGGCACGCCTTGCAACTCGCGCAGTTTTTTTTGTTATTTTTTTATAAAAATATGGTCTACAAAAACTCTAGAAATCAAACTTCATACAGAATTTAGAAAAACTCGACAAATGTTTATCTATCAATGGCATTTCATCGAATTAAATGCAAAACCGTCTATATGAGGTTGCATAAATTATTTTTTAGAGAGTAAAACCACTCATATTTCAAAATGGTCCTCTTTTTTATAAAGCAATCTCATTTCTGGCTAGTATATTTGTGGAGGGATGGATCAGCCAAGAGCTTTTGTGAGCAAATCCAATATTAGGCAGAAAATGTCAGTTACGCGGTTTTGCAGAATGACGATACGCGGGGTGTTCGCGCACCGAGACAATACTTACCAATATTGTTTACAATTATTTACAATAATTTACAACTACTTATAATTGTTTACAATTCTTTACAAATGTACATTATTTACACTAAAAATATCACCCTGTACATATATATTTACATTATTTACAAGTAAGGAACTGTTTTAAGTAATGTAAATATTTTACAGGCACAACACTTGTATACATGTATCATAAAAAATATGGAAATTAAGAAAAAATCGAACGGTAAGTCTGCAGATATTTTGAATAAACGCATACCTATATAAATGAGCAAATCTCACGAGTTAGTTTTTTTTTGGTGTCACTCCCTTCTTTCGACAGAAAAAAACGCTAAAGCATTATTTTTACATTTATTTCAATCAATGGAGTTCCAGAAATAAGTACAATAAAAAATAAATCAAGTATTTAAACAGTTTTAGCCTTAAAACATTTATTTAGGCGAAAAAGTACCAAAATTACTCATTTTTCATTGTCACTCGAAAAAAATCATAATTGTTTTTTTTTTTTTAAATAACTTTGGTATGTTTTCAAATATCAAATGTTCTTATTAGAGGTAATGGACGTTGGCATCAAATACAACATATATGTGAAGCTTCAAGAGTGTGCAACCAAATGACAGCACGCAGAATATCTGTGGCAGTTATTTTAAAATTTTCGAAATTTTTGAATTTATTCGATTTTAATTTTTTTTTGATAATTTAAGTTAATTTAATTGTTAACATCAAATTATGAAAATGTTCTTCTTGCCAAACAAAATGAATCTAGTTTAAGAAGACTAGTGTCTCACCAAATGAAAAAAAAAATTAAATTGAGTAAAAGATTTGAGAAACTACAATTCAATTTTTTTAATTTTTATTGGCAAACTCGAAATTCAATCTGAAATTGTTGTACATATATTGTCACCCGAAATGGAAAAAGACGTAACAACATCGCAATTGAAATGAAAAAAGTGACAAATTTTTTTTTTCATTAAATAATGTGGGAGTTGCGATTCGATGAAATCCATCATATCAATCAAAAACTGAATTTTAAATTTTTTATTACTTACGATTTTTTGGATTTCAGGGACGATGTTTGTTACGTCTTTTTATATTTCAGGTGACGATTTGTATGTACATGAAGTAAGAAATATAAATGTGTATAAGCAATACTCTGTCAAAATCTTAATCGCCAATATTTAATCACTTTTAAATAATTTGGATTTTAAGTTAAGGCGTGCGAGTAAACGTGTTAGATGACTGCGTATGGTACTACGGCGCGTATACGTTACATACGCAACTGCGGGTATATGAGCATGAGTGGGTTATCTTGTTCTTTATACAAAACTAAAAAACATATTTTTGTCAAAAAATTTAATAACTCGTGAGATTTGCCCATATACATACATATCGTCGTTTAAAGTGCAAAACCGCGTATGTGAAATTGTAGAAATTATTTTCTAGAGCGTAAAAACACTCATACTTCAAATTGGTTCTCTCTTTTATAAAGCAATCGCATTTCTGGATAGTATATTTCAGGACGAATGGATAAGAATTGAACCAAGAGTTTGTGTGAGCAAATCCAATTTTAGGCAGCAAATGTCAGTTATGCGGTTTTGCAGAATGACGATATAAGTATTTTCTATAGTTGATTTCAAAGCCCATTGACTTGCTCCAATTTGAAAAATAGATGTATGCGAAAAAAGAATCTTCGAAGGGAATTTGATTGTACTTAAGAGTAAGATTGGTAAAAAAATATCTATTTGGAGTTTCAACGAAATAATAAAATTATGAATTTACAGTGAATTTTAGGATTCTGCTGTGTAAATATTCTGGCAGAAAATGACGGTATATTTCTGTGTTCGTATGGAAAAGTAGCTTATGTCGAATCGGCATTCGCAGCATACAATTGCGAATGACTTACGGGCGCTAAGTCGTTAAACAACTTCTGGCAAATAAACGTGCAAGAAATAGTTCCGATAATAGCAAGTCAATATTCCTATTAAGTCTCATCAAAAAATTCCTTGTCGTTTAAAAAATAAAGGGAATGGCGCATTATACTAAAGTCGGCCTTTCGACATAAGCTACTTTTCCATACGAACACACATTTGATGATAAAAATTCGATTTATTCGATATTTATTTATAACCAGTGTTGCCAGATTTTTTTCAGAAAACTGTAAATGTAACTGTCAAAAACGCGGAGACTTTTAAAAAATTAAGCCTTTTCAGTTTATTAAACACAACTACCTAAAAAAATTTAAAAATTATTTAAAATATATTAACATAAACTGCTCCAATTGCACTTATCTAAACAAATATAGACCTTATAAACTAGAACAATCATAAAATTCAATTTCATTATTTTTCGTAAATTGCTTTGTTATTTTTTTCCTGAGCATTTCATTCGATACCTCACATTTAGTACCTCCTGAAGGCTTTTTTAAGAAACCTATGTATAGTTCTTAGAATATCAGAGCACGCTGGAGTTTCTAGTTTATTTCTTCTTTTATTCAAATTAAGTGGGGAGAACATTATTTTCTTCGTCGTTACGAATTACAACTTCCACGCCACTTTATGAAAAAAAAAATAAAAAACATTAGTCAGGACTTTTTCCATTTCAAAGCGGTTAAGGCCATGCCAGATAAAACTTTGTGGCTTTGCGTGACATTTATGGCAAAGCGCGAAGTTGCAAAAACGATCTACATATCGTCGCACATAGAGGTATTTCATCAATCTTGCCGGCCAAAGCCATATTTCCTAAGATTGGCCCGAATTAAAAAAAAAACTTAATTTTTAATAGGCTTAGACTATAATGCATTATTTTCGATCATTTCTTTTCCTGGTTCAAATACCAAGTTTCTACAGCCAATGTTGAATAAAAATGTTTACGGTTTTACGGAAATAATTGGGTATCATATTAGACCGGTTCAAAAGGAAAAAATTTCTTCTTTTCATGATATTAGTAGAGAAATGAGTTGCTCTACATGTTCAAAGACATTTTTCCAAAGGCTACCCGCAATATCTTTAATATCGGATTAGCGAATCGTATTTGAATGTCAAAAGTTTTTGATTATCGTCTTAGAACTCAAAATGTGTATAATTGGAAACTATTTCGGGTTTTTTCGAAAAAATCACCAGGTTTATAGGAGTAGTTTTTACCCAGGAACTCAAATATGTTGATAGTTTTATCTAGAATCTGGAACTCAAAATTGACTAAATCATTAATTTCAATTTTCAAATTAGTGATAATATGTGACTAAATTATTTTAATTTTTTTTTTTTTTCAAAAATTGTTTTTGTTCTAGTGTCCAGCGCATACGACAATCTTTTATATGTATGCGGCACATGCATCGTGCATTTTCATACATATTTATCATCTTAACTGTCAAAGCGAACCCTTCACGCAAAGCGAAGCAAGCGTTCTATCTGGCATAGCCTTTATGGCGCCAATGCAGAGGAAGAAATCACACAGCAACAACAACAATTGTTGCCATTTGAAAGGAGGCGGGATTCGGCGATATTTATTGCCCTATTAATACTAGAAATGTATATGTACATATATGTATTTATAAGTATTTGGGTACTTACTAAATTTTAGTGTTGAAATATCCTTAATGCACGTACGAAAATGTAGATAGACTTGCGGTCGTTTTTGTTGTTGTCGTTGTAATCCTTATATACTGCTGATCCTAGTGAGCTAATAATGTGTAGGCACGAAGAAACACCACCAAAAAAGTTTTGCTTGGTTTTTGGATTTTTTTTATTATGTGTGTGTGTGTGTGTGTGTTTATATTTATGTGATGTGTGTAGTAGTATGTAACAAATAGTATAAAACTAAAACAAAAACAAAAACGAGTAATTCACACAGAAATATTCAAACAAATGTATAAAATTTCACTAAAAGAACACGTTGATGGTTTTTTCTCTTTGTTTTTTTTTTTTTTGTGGTGGCTTTTGTTGCTTTGACACGTCTAATTTTCAAAACCACAAAATTGTTTGAATTTCTCTAGTTTTTTTCGAGTTTTTTGTTAATTAATTTGTGTTTCTTTTTTTTCTTTTTGTTGGTCGTACTCAATCCTTAAAAGTTCAACACACACTACTACTTCTAAGCACTTTGAACACGTTTTTTGTCTGATTTTTCAGTTTGCGAACTGCACGTTGCCACGCGGCGATCACACGAAACGAAACGCGAATCTGGAACAATGATGGCTACTACTTGTGCAAGGAGGGAACACGTCACGGATCGTCAAGTTAAAGCAAATGCATTGGGATGACTCTGCTGGTGCTATTGCTGCTGCTGTTGCTGCTCTTCGGGCTGCTACTAGTTACTGCGGCTGTACTGCTGCTGAAGCTCGTTGCCTGCAATAAGTGTGGACGTCGTTGCACTTGGCTGTTGCGTATAAATTTAGTTTTCCTTCTTAGTTTTCCAGTTTTTGACTTTCCAAAGCTCTGTTGTTTCGATTTTCACCTTCTCCTTTTTTTTGTTGATAATGTAACTGCCAATTTCTTTTTAGGTTTTAGGTTTTTTTTGTTAATTTTGATTCTCGTGCGCGCCTGCCGTCGTTAGCGCTCTTTGCTCCCGCTGCTTATTTGCAAACTGACTGACAGAATGATTCGTTGTTGGGCCAACACCATCGACGTCCAATTCAAATCCGCAAAAAACCGTTGAATCGGATGCACTTTTTCGTCTTACAATCGATCGTGCAATGTAATGCAACCGAGCGAGCGGCTTCTTCTCAGAGCGGCTAAGTGCGCGCGCCCAGTATGTATGCAATTGATTCACAATGCAGTGATCAAACTCGAATATGTCGTTGTGGTTGTGGTTGTGGTTGTGGTTGTGGTTATGGTTGTGATGATGATGGTGATGGTGGTTGCCGGCTTATTTGTTGTGGGACCGGTTTCCGTTGTGAAACGTAGATAGAATGCAAATCTAGTTGAGAGCGTGCGCTCAATACGAACACAAAAAATATGCAATCGAATGCAACGACGACGATGCAATTTATATTGCAGTGCCGTTCGTTAGCCGATCATGCGAATGTTGGTTGGTACTAAACACTGCTTTCCGGCGTCGAGCGTCGCATCAGCAATTAATCTTGCTGGTTTTGTGGACGTTGTTGTCGTAGTGATGATTAATACGATTAGTACAGCAGTCGTTAAAGCTGTCGTTGTTGTTTTTACTTTTGCTTTTCTATTTCGTTAACTCTGCTCTACGACCTATTCACACTACCGATTTTGATGATTGCAGTTTACTCGTCAGGGGTATCTAGGCGAGTATGTGCTGGTTGGTGTTTGTCACGAACACAAGTCACGAACTTGCAACGAGTCGATTCTAAATTGCAATCTAGTCAATGCAGTTTTTCTGCAATATTGCAATGCGTGCAACGGCTGGAGCGCTATGTGTTGTGTGTGTGCGAGAGAGAGAGAGAGAGAGAGAGAGTGACAAAGAGGTCGCGCCAGAGAAAGAGCAGGACAAAGTAGGTGTGTGAATGGAGCTGTTTGTATGTATGTATAATGGAGCTTTTGGTGTCTGCTCGTCAGCAGTATGATCGTTCGCTTGTTGCTATGGAAGAAAATTTGTTTCAGAAGTTGTTGTTATTTGCTCTAAACAATTACTCCTTTTAGCCGTCTTGCACTTTTTGACGCCTTTGCTTTTAACTCCGTTGCGTTCGGGTTGGCTGTAGAGATTAGTTTAGAAAGGTGTAACTTTGCAGCGCTGCTGATTTACGAGTATGTAGTATGTAATAGGCGTTGTTGTTGCCTGGCAAAGTTAAATTTACTTCTTCGAAAATTGTTTCTTCTAAATGCGTTGTAAGCGTATCAAGTTGCGGCAAAAATCAATTTGTAGTCTACGTTGAAGAAATCTCTCTATAGTTATGCAGTTATAGAAATACGTTTTAGGCACAATATAGTTGTTTAAAGTTTAAACGATTTCGGAAGCAGATTTTGCTGATAATTTTTTCGTAAATTGGTTTTTTTTACTTTGTTTTCTACGCAGTGTTTTATAAAAACATCCAAAAGTTTTTAGCAATCCAAATTTACTTTCCGTAGCTTATATTTATTCGCTAAGTTTTTCGACGTTCTAAGGGCACCGCACTATATACAAAAGCGTTGATACATTCCCTTATCATTTTCCGTAAAACAATCAGCTTTTTTGTTCCAAGCTTTCACAACCTAAGCACGCGTTGCCTTTGCGCCTTTTTGTACAGCTAATTAACGGCGTTTTCGAGTAAACAAACTGTGAATTGTTGTTGTTTATATAGTCGTTGATATTATAGTATGTTATTATTTGGTTAAATAGTTTAATATTCTTCAATTGCTAGCACTGCGATTATTTTTTTTTCGCTTCGTTTCAGACGAAACAACTTTGTTATTTTCTTTTTTAATTATTATCTTCGATTGTCACTTCGTTGCTGTTCTCACTCATTTTTCTTTATAGTTTGCGCTTTTATTTTCTTTTATTTTTTCTCTTTTCGCTATAGCGTACGTTTTTCAGTATTTTTCACACTTGCATTTGTGTTCATGCCTTACTTGGTAGGTATATCGCTGGCGATTTTTCAAGTATTGTTTGCAACACCTTTCTCAAATGTTTTCAAGCAATTAATTAGGTGATGAGCGCACTTTGCGTCATAATGCTGCATTTTTTTAAACAATCATTACACAAAACAGGGGGTCACATAGAAAATGCTCCAAACAAAAAAAAGCCGTATCGCTTTTGTTGGCAAAAGTTTTCACACGCACTGTAACGTTTTTTCGTCTTTTTTTATTTTAAGCACAAAAACATGCGTCTTTATTCGCTTGGAAGTATATTTGTCTTTTAAATTATTATTTTTTTCTCAGTGTATCTCGTTTTTGGTTAACTGCGTCTTAAATTACTTGCAAGACTCTCTGCACTCGAAAACAGTCTTTAAGTCAATGCACAGTTTAATATTTTTATTTTACTCGTAGTTTTTTTTTTAACTTATTTCGTCATTTATTAATAAGAAATAAACTTACAACGCGCGTACTATTTAGTATTTGTGTACGTTGTAAACAAAATTATACTAAATCGTGATTGTAGAAGCGTAAAAAATGTTTAAGAATTAATTAAGCAAATGTTGAAAAGCTAAACTTAAAACGAATTCACTTATGCATAAAAAAATTAAAAAAAAAAATTGTTAAAGTTGAAAACTATTTAAAGTTGAGCTTTTTGTTTTGTTCTGTTGTAGCGTAGATACGTTTAGAAACTGTTGTTGCCGAAAATTGTGGCGTAATTTTGGTTTGCCAAATTTTATCGTAGTTGTTGTTTTTATTGCTGTTCCTGGTTATTTAGACTGCGAACTGCAACTATCTGGTGTTTGTTGTTAAAATTTTATGAATTCTCAAATATTGTTGCTGCTGTTGTTGGATTTTGGAAAAATGTAATTTTTTTTTGGAGTATACGCGGACCTTTACTTTGCACTGCCAACGGGGTTATGCAAAATTCATTTACCGGCAACCAAATGCTGAACAATCTTTCGAATTCGGATTTATTAGAACTTTTATTTTTGATTTTCTATTTTGTTTGCTTAATTTTTCACATTTTCCTCGATGCGTAGTTTTGTTTTGCTGTTTCCTCCGGTGTTATATGTATTTGTTGATTTTCTGCTGGCGAATTTTGAAAATTTTCCGTTTTAGAACTGCAAAATTTTGCCGATTTCTGTGTATATTTAATAAACTTTTTGTGTAAGTTTTATCCAATTGAAGTTGTGAAAATTTTTAGATATTTGTGCCTGCGATATCTTCTCATCGTCGTCCGTCCGCGATACTGTGGCTAAGTGTAGCGGTTGCGTTGATGTCTGGCGTTTTGGCTAACGAATCGGTCTCATCGACGGCTCTACTAGCGTTTGGCTCGGCTCAATTTTTGCTCGGCTCAATTTTTGCTCAGCTCAGCCTCAACTCTATCACCGACAAGAGTGCAGAATGCAAAAATTTGGCTTTGTAGCGCATAAGAGTATACCGGTGTGGTGAGTGGATTCAGTGTGTGTCGTCTGGCTATGTGTGCGTGTGTGTGTGTGTGTGTGTGTGTGTGTGTGTGTGTGTGACTTAATTGGCACTGGCACTGGCACTGGCGATTGTAGCTACAGAAATATTGTAGCTAAAAAATGTATCTGAACTCCCCGATCTGGGTGACTGTTCGCCGTCTACGAGTTTACCCTTATTCTTTATTTTAGCCCCCCCACCGCACCCGAACGCCGCTGCTGCTGCTGCAGTTGAGGTAGCACACTCATTGCTGCCAACATTTTTTTCCACCATTGCTACACATTTTTTGTAATTATTATTGCCGGAAAGCTTGCACTCTCACTGACTCTCCTTAGCTGCTGCACTCGTTCATGTTTGCATGTGTGTGAGTGCACTTTAGCAATAGTGTGTGTGTGTGCTGTTTTGACCGCCTTGATGTGCGTTGTTGCCGGTCTCACCATGCGCTACTGCGGCTTTGGCAACCCTTATGCATGCAATTCTTTTTCCCTGCTGTTCTTGCTTTCAATTTCGCTCTCACTGCCATATTTTACCTATTCCTTCATATATTTGGCATTATTTTTTGAATTAGAATTTTTGTTTTGCTGTTCTCTTCCTTAGCTTTTGGCTGCTACAAGCAGCAGAGTTGCATTTTTTGCACTAATACATACATACATATGTACGTACGCATATGAACATGCACATATAGGCACATACATATGTATGCAGTATGTATGTATAGTCAATTTTTGCGCTCATAGAGCTAGCCAGCCACGCTCAAAAGTCGCTGCCAGTGCAGCGAATTTAGTCTCACATATTAGCACTTGCGATTGGCAATGCAATAGTGTGTATAAATACATATGTATATATGTGCAGTTGCAAATGTGTGAACCAGCATTCTGTAGCTTTTGAGGCCCATGCAACGATTGCAACCCTTGCTCCTCTTCCGCCTTCTTCTGTTGAATTCTCCCATATCTGCTTTTTATTTGCATTCTCACTAGTTTGCGGTTGTGCAGCGACGTTTCTTAACTACACACAAACATCGGCGAATGCATCCAATACGATTGCCACCAGTCGAAAGGCGACAGCGTTTAGCTCTTCCAGCTCCGCCAGGAAAACCACATTCAATGCCATACATTTTATTACTCTCACGTTTTTTTTTCGTACAGACGGCTCTCAGCTCTGCAGCGCAAATCTTTGCCAAGCAACTCAGGCCATTCTTTTCCCCCTAACTTTTTTTTGCGCTACGTTCGTTCGTCTTACCCACAAGTACGGCGACAGTAGAAACCAGCGCCTTAGTATTACCATCAGATATGTCTGTGAACATTTCAATTAACTGCATTTTTTGCTCTTCTTCTCCCTACCATCCCATCGTCTTCGCGCTCTTCCGCTGCCATTAATTAACTTTCGGCTATTCGTGACAACGTATGCGAATGTATGCATGTATGCATGTGCGCGTGTGTGCGTGTGTTGTATGCGTTTGGAACGCCGCGATAAGCGATAAGATCTCGCATGATTTGCCTAATCGTATCCCTCTAGGTCACCTTAACAATGGCAACACTGACTGGCTGTGTCGTGTCTTGTTGCCATTTATGACTGATGCCTTTTGTTGTGACGAACAGGTGTGCTCAGTATAAAGTCATGCGGACAAATATTTTTATATAGTCAAAAGGTATCATCACAATTATACTTCATATAATCTTTTCCAAATGAATGATTTAATAAACACTTTTTGTGTGAGCGCTGTTTCATATTTTTCGTCGAAGAAGACAAAAATATGGGGCTCATGGACATTTGGAAATATTTAAAGAGACATTGGGCCGTATGCATAAGAACTAAGCAAATACTTTTTCCTACAAATTCAGACCTTTCACTCGATTTGTTCAAATAAACTTTAGTGAAAGGTATGAAATTTTAAGAAAAAGCAATTGCTTAGTTTTTATGCATACGGCCCATTGTCATGAAGGTGATTGATACTTTTGATAAATGTGCGGAGACCGCAACAGCTCTGCACTTGGTAGATTTTATGTCAGGCCAGTCTAACATACAAAAAAAAATCCGAGTACTAAGAACCGGTTTTGTCGACTTCGACTATCAAGGAGAACCGGGAACTTGAACCGTAACGTTGTAACGGAAATAGACGCTACCGAAATAGCTTAACAAACGATTTTAAACAGTTTTTACAAATATTCAATTCCCTTCTGTATTTTTAATATAAAGTTAAGTAAAACAACTAATTTTTAGTAAAAAAAAATAGATATATATATATACATATATATATTTCATGATCCAATGATCGGATCTAAACCAGATTAGATCTGAGAGACTACCTTTCCGATGCGAAAAGAATTATCGAAATCGGTAGACGTGGTCCAAAGTTATGCGGCAACATACATAACAAAAAAAACCTCCTCCGTTTTTGGAAGTCGGTTAAAAAATAAACCAATACTATACATGCACTACGTTCATTCATTAGACTAAAATTATTTAAAACAAAAAATACCTCTTGGCGCTTAGCACTCGTAATAAACTAGTAATAATTTAATTCATTCTTTAGTTGATATTTGTTTTACAAAAATTGTAGAAAAATAAAATACATGGAATTAAATTTAAATTTTTGTACATTCTAATTTCTTAGCTCATATGATAATTTCGCCCACAAGAAAAAAAAAATCATTGTCACATACGATAAAATTTACAATCAATTTTTGGGGTAGCTATTGGGATTTAAGCCGTAATATTATTTGAACAGGGGATGCGTTATGGGTTTTAAAACAAAGTTGCATCAAAAAGTGAATTTCGCAAAAAAATGTAACATACGATAATTTTGCGCAAGGGATCGATATTTTAAAGATAAAAATACAGCACAAGTTTTCATTATGTAGATATACCTTTAACGGAACCGTAATATTAAAAAGGACCAGTCCAGCGCCTTCTTCTTGACCTGTGTAGAATACGTAATTCAACTTAAATTTAAATTTTAAAATAGATGGCAACTCTGCTACATGTAGTTTAGAAAAAAAAAATGTCTTAAAAACAATTTTGATTGATATCTATATTCAAGTAATTTACTAAACCTATTGCATAAGCTTTGAATTAAACTTTGTAAATAGGTTGCAACCCTGAAGAAGATGAATGATAAAGATAAGTAGACTATTATGATCGACCTATAATTCTCGCAAAAGATTTCCACGTCAACTTTTCGCTTGCCGAATCTGATGAACTGACAAAATTTTTTAAAGGAAAATTTTCAGAAATATTAATAATATTGAAATAAAATATTTCGTATCTTATTTTTCTCTACAACCCCTAGAAAGCTCATAATGCCCTCTCGGTTCTTCTTGCGACAAGTTCCAGCATAGCGTACATGATACTAGACAAACGAACATCTTCTTGCCTGTCTTCTTTTATAACAACTTTTCCACAAGAATCGCCGCATGGAGGAGCGCATGGTGAAGAGTAAAAAGCCAGACTCGTGTAC